GTGCAGCCACTCTAATCCTAGTAAATGATGTGTCTTCTTTGTAAGGTAACTTGAGCTAAAGTTCTTGCAAAAGAAAATAACTGTTGGTAGAATAGGGATCTATAGTAAATGAAATGTCTTCCTTATCATAAGTCAAACTTAAGTTCTTGCAAAAGAATCCAGACATTTTGTTGGTACTATAGGGGCCTGAATAATTAGAATAGGGTTTTGGGGGCCCAAAATATACTATAAGTATGAATGAAGGGAACCCCCAAATAATCAAGGTAGTTATTAAGGCCCCTACAGTAAACCCCTATAACAGCCCTTATAGACCCCTGAAAAGGAACCCTTAAACGAACCCTACGGTAGTTAGTATTAAGGCCCCTATATTAGGACTACAAATGACACAACTCATAGCCACCTCCGAGGTCTCATCGTTCACCCACTCCACCTGAAGACTCGCGCGAGGGGAGTGCCGGTTGGGAACTTACACCCTCAAAGTTTGGGCTTAGGGTGTAGGGCTTGGGTTTGGGGTTCAGGGCTTGAAGGTTAGAGCTTTAGGGTTCAGGGTTCAGTTAAGGTTTAAGACTTATTAAGGCTTAGGCCTTGGGGGTTAATGACACTCCAAAAGCCGTAGAGCCAAAACACCAGTCTGGGTGCTGTTGCTCGGAGCGCGTGGGCTCAAGGCTCAGTGTGACTTACTTGGGATTCTGGGATGTAGTTGTGTCATCTGTAGTCCTAATATAGGGGCCTTAATACTAACTACCGTAGGGTTCGTTGGAGGGTTCCTTTTCAGGGGTCTATAAGGATTACTATAAGGCTGAGGTCGTTATCTCAAACGAATCTCAAGGTTGGCCACAGAAGACGGTAAAGAAGATCCTCGTAGGCCCCAAGAGGGTAAGCACAACATATCCTAAAGGCATACCTAGATCTCGACTCAGGATTATACCAGTGCTGCAGCGACATGGCGAAGAACAAAACCTCTGCAAATACAGTACCTTGAATAAATAGGACCCTGATTATAAGGACCCCAAAAATGAGGTACGAGGTACCCCGCATTTTTCGGAAAATCTAGAGCCCTTTAAATTAACCCTTACAGTACGCTGATAGTAAGCCATTTAAGGAACCCTACTTGGAGGATCAGGGGACTTAGTAAGTAAGTAGCTCCCCTACTTGAGGCTATAAGTATTTACAAGTATAGTTACCGTATTTATAACCCTAGTTACTAAGACCCATGATCCTTTAAGTAATACCCGTTCGGAAGCCCTCACCTTGGCCCGAGTGATATCCCCGTCGTGCTCCGCGGGGCCCAGAACTTTGAAGTGGCGAAGCGCCTTGAGCTCCTGGCGTTCTGGGTTTAGAGGTTTTTTTGAAGAGTGTGGGGTTTAGAGTTTAGGGTTTGGGGTTTAGGGTTTAGAGTTTAAGGGTGTAGGGTGTAGGGTTTAGATGATGAAAGCCCTGAGCCTGTCAGCTCTGTGTAATTACATGCATACCACGAGACCTTGATGGTCCAAGCTTTGCGGAGTGCTAGAAGACTGTAGTCAGTGTAAAGCACGGCAGGTCCTAGCAAGCATAGCAGTCCCAAGAACGGCAGAAGCCAGCATAGATTGTGCGCTTCGTGGAAACAGATTTCTTCGTCAATTCGCTTGCGTTTGCCATGTCGCATTCACATGCTGTTTCTGGTGCATCAGAGAGTGCCTTGCTTCAGCAGGGTATGAGCCCAACGCTACCCGATGAAGATAGTGCTCCAAACTATGGGGCCCTCTTCACGGAGCCACTGCGAACGGAAGGTGAGGCTTCACTCTCAGCACCTACAGCGGCTTTGCCTAATGGGGTTCCTAGCGTACCACCACGTGAAGTTCATGGTCAGGACCCCGCTGGCCCTTGTAGCACTGTGAATGATGGTATGGAAGCGCCCAGAGCGATGCGTCAGATTCCTGTTGATGGAACAGCGTCGCCTACCGAGAATGTGGCCTTGACAGCCTCGACTGCTGCACCGAATGGAGTATCTCTTCCGTTGTTTCCGGCCTTTCAGCCCTCTCCTCTGCCAGGACAATCACCGGTTGATGTGCGAGAAGGAGGACGTGGACCAGGCTCGTGGTTCACCCGGTTGGGGGATTATATACAGAAGAGAGTGGAGGTTACTTCGTGGTCCTCTCCTCCGGGGTCTACTTCTAACCAAGCGAGTGTGTGGCATAACAGGAGTCAAGTGCAGACTATGATGGTTGCGTCTCCTACTATGGGAGAAAGGAGGCCCGAGTCGAACTCAAGCGGATCCGCAGGGATACCTCAAGAAATGGTTCAGGCCGAAGTGGCTCGGCAACTGGACAGCGCGATGAGCGAAGTGATGAGTCGACTGCAGGACGAGAGGCTGAAGACTGAGCGAGCAGCTTTGGAGGCTCGGCAGCTACGGGAACAGCTCGAAAAATTCGAGATGGCGGCCCAGGCGGCGCCGCCGCTCCCGATTGGTCCCCCACCGGGGATGTTACCGCTGGGTTCAAATGATCATGGAGCTTCTAATTACCGGAGTCCCTGCGAATCATCCTCTACCTGGTCCTGTTATAGGTTCGGCAACGACTATGGTGCAAGGCAATCAACGTCATCGTGATCTAGAGTATGCAGGTGAAGACGCTATAGTTGCAGGTGGCTTAGGTGTACCAAGCGGTGATCGGGCCTTTGCAAATGTTGGAGATACTGTTGCTGAGGGCTCTACTGTACCACAAGGTGATCGGGCCTATTTGAACTTGGGTTACAATGTTCTGGGAGGTCCTACCGTATGCCATGGTGATCGGGCCTTTACAGCAGTTAGGGGTGTAGAACCCAATATTTATGATCCTGGAGCTTCTACCGGAGTTCCGGCGAATCATCCTCTACCTGGTCCCTTTGAAGAACATGGAGCTAGGTCTCGTACCAGGTCTCAGTCGCCGAGTGGTCCACGTGCCTTTTTGCAGGGCTTGTTCGGTCTGGGTACAGCTGGTCGTGATGATGGACAAGCGTTTGACCCCAGGGTTCAGTCTGGTTCGAGAACAATACCTACAACCTTCACACCACCTCCACTTCAACCTCCCTTACCTCCACCACCACAACCACCTATGGCTACAGGTGCAGCGGCGTCGGCTCGGGATGACAGTGTCTTGGCGACTTTGGCCCGAGGCATAGAAGCGCTACTGCAACAGCAACAGCAAGGACCCCGGCATGATCGTCCCGAAACGGTTAAGCCGGGCATCTCTGAACTTCCCCACCTTCCGGAGTACCAGCCGGCGACGGGGTCGATAGACTTGCTTCACTGGTTGACGCACATAGCACCAATGATGGAGGATTTGTCAGATACCAGCTTGCTTTGGTGGCAGCAGACGGTCAAGGACGCCCTCACATGGTATGCCCAGTACTCAGCGGCTCCGCCGTTAGCGCGACTGCAGCTTCGTCCTCGACCAAGTCATGACCCTCGTCCTGAGTGGGCTAGGGTTGAAAGACGGGCTACAGCAATGATGTTGAGTGCAATCCCAAAGGCGATCCGCGAGGAGGTAATCGCTCATGGGCAGATGTCAAGCTTGGATGTGCTGTGCAAACTGTACTCGGTGTACCAGCCGGGTAATCTGCAGGAGAAGCCGTTGGTTCTGCGGATGTTGGAGCAGCCTGAGGAATGCACCACGGCGCTTCAGGCAGTTGAGGGGCTTCGGAGATGGAGCCTGTGGAGACGGAGGGCGGCTTCCTTGGGGATGACGGAGCCCGATGCGTCGGTTCTGGTGAGGGGCTTGGACAAGATCACGGCGCCCATCATCCAGGGGAGTGGCGAGCTATCGTTCCGGGTGAGTTTGATCAGAAGTACTCTGCAGGTGGATGTGAGTCCCTCTTCGTCTACGGTGACCACCTTTCACCAGCACCTCCAGGCCGAGATGGAACAGCAGGCCAGATTGGGAGTGGCCAAAGGGATTTCGGATGTTTCTCCTGCGATACGAGCGGTTACCACTGGCACCACCGACACTACAACTTCATCACAACAACTACCTACTACAACTTCACCTACATCCTCTACTACCAAACCACAAGGAGCTTTGTGCAGGTTCTTCGCCTCCGATAAGGGGTGTCGCCGAGGAAATGGATGTCGGTTCCCGCATACGTGGGCCTTGTTGGAGAAAGGAAGCCGTCAGCGGAAGTGTTTGTGCTGTGGGTCCACTCAGCATAAGGTGAGGGAGTGTCGAGCTCCCGGAGGTGGCCAGGCAAAGTCGGCAGCTTCGCGTACTGAGGCGGCGGGTCCAGGTGAAACGGGATCTACGTCACCAACGGCTTCTGCTTCGGACTCACCGGCGAGGAAAGTGAAGTTTGATGGGGAGCAAGTGCAGGCCAAAGTGTTTCAAGTCCTCCAGGAGGTGAAGAACATTCCTTTGTTCAGGTCAGTGATGGACACGGTGAGCCGGTGGGCGTCCCAACCAGTACCGCCTTCCCCTAGGGCACGATCGGCTTTGTTGGACTCAGGTGCAACCCATGTTCTACGTGCGCCTGCTGATGATCAAGAATGGGACCGAGCCAAGGATGTGAATGTTCAGCTAGCGGGCGATGGCTATGCGGCCATGCGGCAAACACCCGCAGGTACGATACTCAACGATGACCAGATGGCTCAGGTGATTGTGCCGTTGGGCAAGGTGATTGCCAATTTGGGTTACCGGTTGCATTGGACTTCCAAGGAGTGCTACCTGTACGGCGAGGACGGTGAGATCATCAACTTGGAGGTGGTCCGCGGATGTCCGGAGGTGAGTGAAGAGGTTGCAAAGAAGTTGATTATGCGGTTAGAGGAAACTCAACTTCCTCAGCTTCAGGATGCCACTGCAGCCTCGGCTAAGGCGCTCAGCTGTGTGACGTCGAGTTGGTGGGTTTGTCTCATGGAGTATGTGATGACGGGCAGCAGTGAAGCTGCTAGGATGGCAATCAACAAGGCCCCCTTCTTGCTGTACAAGGATGTGTTGGTGGAGGCCCTGGCAACTTCAAGACCGCGGAAGGGCATCTGGGAGCTGTTGAAGGCCATCAATGTGAATAGGCGAACTCGCAAGCGCCTGATGAACTCTTCCTCGTGGGTGATTCGTTGGGATCCTCCGGCGGTAGATCGACCTCGGGATGCCTTGAAGCATTTAGGAATGGCCAAGGAGACCATGTACATCAACCTGAACACCTTGCTGATGGAGAATGAGTTTGAGGATGTGTGGAAGGTTGTGCTATGGGGTGCAATGGATGGAAAGATCAGCACCGTCGTGGCAAAGGACAGTTTGGGGTCTCCGATGGACCACGTGGTAGCAGCCCCTCATCGCAGCAAGGTGCATTATCTACATGCGCTGGCGACGGCAGGTCGGACTGCCCATGGTCAGGGTGCTGTGAGATTGTTGGTGGAGGACCTCCATCGAGTTCAGCGAGATCAGCGCGATGGTGTTGAGGAGAGTATGTGGCCGGCATGGTCAATGTGCAAGGATGCCAAGGAGTACATGGCTGAAATGGGGATTGTTGATATCTCCATAGCTGAGTTCACGGGCGAGAACTATGTGAGGGTGGCCCGTCTTGATGGAGATGCAGCGTGGCGCTTGCATGTCATGCGGGGGCATCAACCCTTTCGTCGAGATTGTTCGGTTTGTGTTCGCAACAGTGCCACAGGCAAGCAGCACCGAACAACTATGCACCCGATGGCCTACACGTTGAGTGTAGATGTGGTGGGACCGTTGAAGGAGCATGGGAAGTCACCAGATGGGAAGTTCTTCAAGTACTTTGTCATTGGCGCCCTGAGAATACCTAAGGTCGAGGGTGGTGATGGACATCCAGAAGTTCACGGGCATCCCATCCCTCCAGATGGTGTTGATGAAAGCGAGAAGGAGATCCTCTCAGAGGAGGAGCGCGACGAGGAGGAGGCTGTTTCCGAGGGTGACTACTGTGATCCTGCTGAGGTCGAAAAGGAGAACGAGCGGTGGAAGGAGTTGAAGGCTACGTTTAAGGAGCCCATTGCTACCACCACCTTGTACTTTGCGGTTCCTGTTAACAACAAGAAGGCTCCTACGATGCTACCGGCGGTGCAGAAGATTGTCTTGGATGTGAAGGCCCTTGGCTACCCGGTCACAAGGTTGCACAGTGATCGTGGTGGTGAGTTCAGAGGTCACTTGGTGCGACGCTGGGCCTTATCCCAAGGCATGTGGCCTACTACGACATCGGGGTCGGAGTCGGCATCCAATGGAGTCGCTGAAGCAGGAGTGCGATACCTAAAGCGCAGAGCTAGAGTGCTACTGGATAGCTCAGGGGTGGGTCGGCAGCACTGGCCTACGGCGGTTCAGCATGCAGCAGCTCAACAACGTTGCGACCAACTTGGAGTTCTACCTGCGCTCCCTGTCGCCTATGGTACCAAGGTGTATGTGAAGACCAAGAAGTACAAGACTGGTGCAGTTGAAGACTTTGGACCGCATTGGACCCGGGGACGGTATGTTGGACCGTCCACAGACATTCGAGGAGGTCATGTTATACTGAAGGACTCGGGCACCTTTGTACAGACCACCCACGTGAGAATTACCAGGGAGCCACCCCCCTTGGATACCATTGCACCGACTGTGGTTGTGGAGCCTGAAGCCATTGAGAGTCCGGTCCCTGGAAGGGAGGAACCTCCTCTACCACCACCAGATATCCCTCCACCTGAAAGGAGGCTCCGAGCGAAGACTCCGCGGGCCGCGAAGCTTGACGAGCTTTATGAGCCTTGTGTTGAGCTGTCTGAGGCTACCCAGGGCATAAAAGGTTCGTTCGAGGAGGAGCTCGAGTTGAAGTACCTCCGCCTGGAGGAGATTGAGTACCTGGAGGGTGTTGCGCGTGGCTTGTATGAGGGTAAGAAGTTCTCCAAAAATGATGGCCACAAATTGTTGAGTTTGTTTGCGGGGACCTGTGGCAATTTGAAGGTCCCACGTGCTCCTGAAGGGCAAGGCTTGGTGCTGGGTGCCTTTGTTCATGGAGGGTCATTTGGAGTGACTCGTTATGGTCGAGACCTACCATGGGTCATGAAGTACTTCAACACGTACCTCTATGAAAGGATGAACGCTCGTTGGCCACATGTGCGTCCCACTTGGACTACTCTAGCCCTTCAATGTGCAGAGACTATTCCTCGTCACCGTGATGTTCACAATGAGAGAGCGACGTTTAACTACGTTGTGGAACTGAAGGCTGAGGATGAGGGAGGGCTGTGGGTTGAAGACAAGGGCCTCGAGCGCGGTGTTGTTGGAGGTGAACGTTTGGAAGACTTTCAGTATGAGGCGGAGGACGGTGCGGTGTATGACGGTTGTGTGGTTGATATCACAGAGCAGCCAGCGGCATTTAGCCCTATGACCCCGCACGCCTACGTCACGAATGGTCACCGACGGTGGTTCTTGAGTGCCTACACACCACAGGGGTTTTCTCGGTTGAGTCTTGGTGATCAACAATATTTGCAACGTGCTGGGTTTCCTCTTTGTCAAAAAGATGAAGATAACCATGGAGTGCGGGAAGAGGCTCCTGCACTAAAGGCTGCTGACTTACCTTGTGGGACTACGTTGAGCGGAGCTCATGGTGCCCCTCGAGATGTGGAAGTAGCTACTGTGGGTGATTGTGAAGGAAGCTTCAGCGACTGGGCCATCTACGTTGAGGACTATGTCGAGGAGGAGGCAGATCCAGGAGAATGTGAGCAAGTACGATGCTTGAGGAGGATTGGTTCTTCCGATGATCCTGGTGATGAGCTTTGGTCTTTGGTTGAGGCGGAGCTGTTGTCCGAGGAACAGGTTGGCCCAGAGGTTGTTGAGAACTTTGGTGAGAGGCTGGAGCATTGGAGCTCTATGGGAACTTTGGAGGTTCCAAGGATTGCAAAGCTCGAGCCTGAGTACTCCCCAGGCATTGAGGAGATCATCAAAGGAGCAGTGGAGCAGCGGTGTCCGCTTCGCCATACCTACAATGTGAGCCCACATGAGGCTAAGGCGGAGATTGAAAAATGGCGGGCCGCGATAGCCAAGGAGGTGGGAGTCGTTGAGAAGGGATTCAAAAGGATCCGGGCCGACGAGGTCAATGAGATGAAGAAGGAGTTCACTGTACAGGAGCTGCCCTCAAAGTTGGTGTATACCGTGAAACCTCCGAACACCACACCTACTACAACTTCAGATTCGGAGGATGAGAGTTTGTACTGTCGTCGCAAGGCTAGGGTGGTGTGTTGTGGCAACTTTGCAGACGAGGAGGGTTCCGACCTCTTCGCCGGAGGCATCGCCGCCAAGAGCATGAGATGCGTGCTCGTGTACACGGCAGACCAGGGCTGGATGGTTGGAATAGTTGATGTTACTGGAGCATTTATGCTCACTCCGCTCCCCCAATCACAAGGGCAAGTTCGTTACATTATACGCCCACCAGCTGCTTTGGTGGCTCTCGGTCTAGCTGACCGAAACGAAAGGTGGCTGCTAACGCATGGCATGTACGGCTTGCGTCAATCGCCAGGCTTTGGGCAGACTATCGCGACACCGAGCTGAAGAATATCACTGTGGAGTATGACGACAAGGTCTATGGGTTGAAGCAGGGTGCTGCAGAACCGAGTATGTGGTTGGTGTATGAAGTGGGAGCACCGCTAAATCGACCCCCTGAAGGCTTGATTCTGGTGTACGTTGATGATATAATGCTATGCGGACCTAGAGGTTTGGTGTGTGCGGTGGCGGCTAGAATTTCTCAGTTGTGGAAAACTTCGGAGCTGGAGTTGCTGACTGCAGAGCACGACCTACGGTTTTTGGGGTGTGAAATATCAACGTCCGAGGATGAGAATGTGTTCTACCTCCACCAGCGGCCTTACATTGATGAAATTCTTCGCCATCATGAGGTTGCGGCTACTATGCTGTCACAAGTGCAAGCTCCGCGAGATATGGTGACCTTTGAAGCCTTTGAAGGAGAATCCCCGGGCACCCCCGAGGAAATTAAGGCCGCACAACGGCTGTGCGGCGAGCTGTTGTGGCTTGCCCAGCGTTCAAGGCCGGACATATGCTACGTTGTCAGTGCTATGAGTTCGCTTTTGTCGAGGGCGGCTGTTCGGTGTGTCGCTATCGGTACAAGACTTTTGGCCTACTTGCAGCAGACTAAGAACTTGGCGCTGACGATGAGGGCGACAACCAGCGAGCTTATCGCCTACTCGGACAGCTCTTTTGCCCCGCAAGGGAGCCGAAGCTTCACTGGAGTGGTACTTAGTTGGAAGCGTTCGCCGGTGTCATGGAGGGCGGCCAAACAGCCGTTCACTTGCTTGAGCACGGCGGAATGCGAGTTGGTGGCGTCGATTGAGGCTCTGACGATGGCAAAGTCATTGGAGGCGATTGTCAACCAGCTGGAGCCGCAGCCCCGGACGATCATTCTGGGAATTGATAATCAGGCGACCATTGCGATCGCACAGCCGTCTACTACAGCCTCGTGGAGGACGAGGCACCTACGTGTGAGGGCGGCCTACATACATGAGCAGGTTGAATCGAATCAGGTTCAAATCCGGTATGTTCCGGGGAAACAGCAGTGGGCGGACCTACTCACCAAGAGCTTCCCTCGGCAGCGCTTATTTGAGCTTACTGGCCTGTGGGGGTTTTGTGGATCGTGTTCATGAAGCTTCTAAGAAGGCGGTGGTGAAAGCGATGTTGATGTGTATGGTGGTTCAGACTACCCGCGCTGAGGAGCACCCGGAGCCCCTTGCTATCAATACCTCCCTCGAGCTCTACGTGATGATCCTGGTGTTGGGCATAGCGGTGGTTGGACTTTGGGAGTTCATATGGCTATGCGTCGATCGGTGTTGTACGAGGCCTGAAGAAACCCGGACAGCGCGCAGAATGAGGCGGTTACAAGAGGCTGTTCAACGGGAGCTGGAGACCCAGATCAACGAGGCAGCCGCTTCACCTACCGGGACCAACCGTGGACCTCCAACTACTCCACCAAGACCAAGGAGGGCATCCACCTCTATGTCATCATTATCAGCCCCCTCTTCGGTGCTGAATTCCCCTATGCCAAGGAGACCGTGTGTAGCTAATGCTGCTACTCAGACCGAGATCAATGAGGACTATGTACCGATTGTTGAGTACCTTGACCGCGATGTACCGGTACCTGTCCCAGTTCGCGAGTGGCACCCCGGACCACTTTATGTCACCCCTCATGGCGATACCTTTCATACCCATGAACGATGTTGGGGATTGAGGAATGCTAGATCGCGTCCTTTGCGATTCTGCCAATGTTGCCGTGATAATGGTGGTCATTCACTGCGCGAACGCCATGGGTGAGCTGAGCAGGCTGCAGTATGGAGAGTATGATCTCCCTTCTACAGGTCGCTCAAGGAGGAGTGATGAAAGCCCTGAGCCTGTCAGCTCTGTGTAATTACATGCATACCACGAGACCTTGATGGTCCAAGCTTTGCGGAGTGCTAGAAGACTGTAGTCAGTGTAAAGCACGGCAGGTCCTAGCAAGCATAGCAGTCCCAAGAACGGCAGAAGCCAGCATAGATTGTGCGCTTCGTGGAAACAGATTTCTTCGTCAATTCGCTTGCGTTTGCCATGTCGCATTCACATGCTGTTTCTGGTGCATCAGAGAGTGCCTTGCTTCAGCATTAGAGTTTAGGGTTTGGGGTTTAGGGTTTAGAGTTTAAGGGTGTAGGGTGTAGGGTTTAGAGTTTAGAGTTTAAGGGTGTAGGGTGTAGGGATTAGAGTTTGGCGTTCAGGGTTTAGAGTTTAGGGTTTGGGGTTTAGAGTTAAAGGGTGTAGGGTTTAGGGTTTAGAGTTTAAGGTTTAGGGTTTAGAGTTTAGGGTCTAGGGGGGTGTAGGGGCCCTAAACCCTAAACCGTTAGAAGGTTTCAACTTGTGCAGTTTTGGGCTTGGGGGGGGTTAAGGGAATCGGGCTCAGGGTTTTACGGAGTTTGCATGGCCGCTATTTAGGATCTTCCACCCTGATCTGGGTCTTACGTCTAAAACTTCTTAGGGTCGGGTTGGGGTTCAGTAGGATTGGGAGTTTTCCAGATGTTTAACCCTAAACCCTAAACCCCTAAACCCTAAACCCTAAACCGCCCTTAGTTATGGGCTTTGTAAGAAGGGTTTTGCAGACTTTTCGGGTGCTGTCGGGCTTTGCAATCCTTTGCGGGTTCTACAGATCTTGTCGAAGCTTCAAAGCCAAGTCTTATGAGCTTCGTTTTGACGTTTTTAATCTTTGTGTACATGGAAGTTTTGTACAAAAGGTTTTAGCAATGATTTTATAATCAATTGGTTTAGGGGATCAGGCTTTGGGAGGGAGGGGGGGCTTAGAGTCCAGCGTTTAGAGTACAGGGGCACATGGATTGAAACTTAGAGTTTAGTGTGACACTTAGGCGTTTAATGTCCTAGTTTCAAGTCTTTGGGGTGTAGTGTGCGCTGCGTAATTTGCAGGCTTACTTAAAGGATCATGGGACTTAGTAACTAGGGTTATAAATAAGGTACCTGTACTTACAAATACTTATATTATAGCCCCAATTAGGTACTTATAGCCTTACTTACTAAGTCCCCTGATCCGCCAGGAACTCGCTCACCAACTGAACCATGGGGCATCTAACTACGGGGCACGGGGATGCTCCAATGCTCCTACTATAGTGCCGTGAAGATTAGAATAGGGTTTTGGGGTAATTAATTAGTCTACTTTGGAATTAAAACACGTATTTAGGGCCCTATACTATATGCCCGACTGCTGACCAAAGACCGTTGTGCTTGCAATCTCATGCCAGTTAGCGGTAGACTTGGGCAAACCCCTAAACCCCATACCTGGACCCTGAAGAACCGACCTTTGTAAGGTTCGTTGTTCTGACTTCCTTATATACCGAAGCCGCAAGCCCTGAACCACTGACGTACCAGTAAATCCTGCCCTTGACCCTAAACCCGAAACCCCTAAACTCGTAAACAGTAAAACCTGAAACTCAAACCCCAATCTCTACACCGACAAGTCATCCGCAAGTTTCAACACCGGGCTCCCATTGGTTGAAGTTGACTTGCTTCCTCGGCTGCCGCGCGGTTTCGGGTTTTAGGGTTACGGTTTCGTATTTGAGGGTTTAGGCTCTCGGGTTTGCTGAATTCTAGCTGAAAGGCTGAACAGCTATGTTTTCGCGCATGGTTCGCGAAGCTAGGGTTCCCTTGGAATCCCCTAAAGACTCCGCTCGTACAACGGCCCTCAACGGGGGCTATCCTTTGGTGACCTACACCCCAGACCCTAGCCCTGAAAGCAAGCCCTAAATGCCGAACCGCGAAACACTGAACCCATGGAACTGCGAACCCAAAAAAGTTCAAAGCCGCAAAGCGCCAGGTTTCAGTGTCGCCGATACTCCATGTCGGGCCGGCGATGTCCCAAAGCGGGACCGGACCATTCCTGTCCGGAGAGCCAAAACTTCGGGTTTCGGGTTTTTGGTTCCCCCGTGAACATGACTGTAGAAGGTTGCCTTATGGTACACAGGGCTTCGTATGGTACCTTCAAATAAAGACATCACAACCCTTCTTCTTATGATCTACATATGGAAGAAGTGGGTTTCTGAGTTACACTACACGACAGCGCAAGACCTTATGTGAAAAGCTCACCACCTGACGAGCTTCCACGAACCCTGTGGCCTACATGGCGCCCTAGGGATGCAGCAGCCCTAATCAAAGGTGTAGCTTTCCGGCGTTCAGCTTTGCCCAACCCCTTTTTTGTCACTGGACTCAAGTGGTGGTTTCCGAAAATATGGATCCTAATATAGTACCCTAAATAGTAGGATCCTTCTTATATGGACCCCCACATGAGGTACCCCTAATTTGCGGAAACTCCCAAGTCTAGCCAGACCCAAAGGGTCCAAAGTACCTGTATTGTAGAATATATTAGGAATTACCACTATGATTAAGACATCGGTCTTCTACTCGACCCGGCCGGATAAGTAAACATACACTCATACACACATATGAAAGAGTCAGTAGTGGTTTGATTTTCCCAGAGGGTCCAAGTACCCCCTATTATAGGACTTTGGGGGCCTTTTTCGGTATCAAAACCCATAAATAGGGACTACTTGGACCCTTAGGGTTGGGGAAGTATCCCCCATCACAGTACCTACTTGGAGGATCAGGGGACTTAGTAAGTGGGGTTATAAGTCCCCTAATTGAAGTTATAAGTATAGTTACCTTATTTATAACCCTAGTTACTAAGTCCCATGATCCTTTTAGTAGGACCCTTTGCCAGACCACAGTCTGCAATCAACGTTGAGCCCTACTTGGAGGGCCAGGGGACTTAGTAAGGGCTCCTTAAAGGGATCTATAGGGTTCCTTAGAGGGATCTATGGGGTTTAGGGTTTAGGGTCTACTTGGAGAGGCAGGGCAGGGGACTTAGTATAGTAGTAGCCAGAAAGTTGGAACATCATTGTCCTCATGCCCTTAAGGTAAAGTATAAGGGATCCTAGCACTAATCCTCCTAAAGCCATGTTCCAACCTTCTGGCTTCTACTGTAAGTAGGTTCTAAGTAGAGTTATAAGTACTCTAAATGGAGTTACCCCAAATATAACACTAATTGTAATCTACTTACTAAGTCCCCTGCCCCTCCAAGTAAACCTTCTACGATGTCTTTTGCCGGCGCGGAGCCTATGACGCCGATGTCCTGCTCCTCCTCCACCAAAACTTGAAGCTCCTTCACGGGTTCAGGTCCACAGGGCTTAGGGCGTAGAGTTTAGGATTAAGGGGGATTTTGATTCGATCGGGTTTGGGGGATGCATTACTTGGAGGATCAGGGGACTTAGTAAGCAAGGGTATAAGTACCGCAATTGGTGTTTATAGGTAATGTTATCTATCTATCTATCTATCTATCTATCTATATATCTATATATGTATAGTTACTGTATTTAACAACACTAGCTACTACGTCCCATCATCCTTTAAGTAGACCCTATAGATCCCTTTAAGGAGCCCGTTAAGGAACCCTAGTATAGGCGACCGAAAAAGTACATCACGGGCATGAAAGAGGCCAGACACACGGAGAAATCGGGGCCTGAATAAGTACCTATAAAGGGGCCTTTGTATTCAAGGGTTCCTTGAAAGGGGTCGAAAAGGGCTACTATAAGGGCTATTATGGGGGTTCTAGTGTAAGGGCCTAAACAATTACCAATGCGAATTTTAGGGTTCCTTATAATAAGTATAGTATAATGGGCCCCCAAACCCTATTCTAATTATTAAGGCCCCTTTTGTTAGAGTGAGGAGTTGGATGCTTTTTGAAAGGGGTCCTGCGGTTTGGGATTGATATGGATGAATTAGTGTGAAACTCCGAAATCTAGACGGAGAAATGGCTAAGCCCACATTTTGTGTATGTCACTCGTCTGAGTCTCTTTTCGATGCCTGGTCTTGGAGCCGGGGGGATTTCCCCCATTCCACAAACCCTGAGCCTCTGAACCCTAAACCTTTATGTCCCAACAGCCTGAATTCCTGGGTGCTACCCAAATGCCTCAAAGTAGTTCCTCTTTGGGGTTCATATATAGAAACCTATAAGGTAATCCCAAAAAGGAACTACTTTGGGGCCTATGGGTCGTTTCGAGTATGTAGAGTTTACAGGCTAGCCCCCCCCCCAGCCCCCAAGCGCCGAGACGCTGTACGGTCTACACCTCGAAACCGGCTGCAACCCGAAGCGATTCCTAACCCTACTTGGAGGATCATGGGACTTAGTGAGTAGGTTATAATTGGGGTTATAAGTCCCCTAAGTGGGGTTATCCTAATTATGACCTACTTATAACCGTACTTACTAAGTCCCATGAGCCTTCAAGTATACTCTAAACCCAGCGATTCCTTGTTTGGGGAGTTGAAGACCAATCGTTGCCCAGGGAGCCTGTGCTGTCACGAAGAAGAAGAAGACTTGTGCGGGTTTGGGGTTTTGGGGTTTAGGGGTTCTTAAGGGGTTTTAGGGTTTAGGGGTTCTGAAGGGGTTAGGGCTTGGCTCCGGGTGTAAACTTTACCCTAAGGGTCCAAGTAGTCCCTATTTATGGGTTTTGATACCGACAAAGGCCCCAAAGTCCTATAA